TGACGTCGCACTGCGAGGAGACGAATTCACTGACCCAACGACGCTGTCAATCGCGTCTTGAATCGACGATTTGTTACTATCCACAAAGCTGGTCACCACTGACTTCGCTTCCACCGCAGTCGGTGTATCCCCTTGGGCATGGGAGGAGCCGTGACTGTCGTCGAACACGGCGTGCGCCGAATCGGTCAATGAACTGGACAGCTGACATAACTCGTCCAGCTCCGTAAGTGCTTCTGATGTGCTGTTCATGTGTCGAGCCTTAGACGAGCCCTTGTTATTAGACACCGAACAAACAACGCCTAGCGGCGCTGATACCGGCAGTTGCGGCGGCTGTGTCGCGTTAGCGTGAAAACTGTTGCGTACATGAGGCTGACCGGTGGTGAACTGCTTCTTCATCACCTGACACTGGCGAGGAGGGATCAGTTCGTGCCAGACTTCGATTTCTTTAAACAAGTCCAGCAGGTTTGAGGGGCGTCGATTATTGGAACCTGGAGCACGCCAAGAAAATTCAGTCAAATTTAAAAGATTAGATTGGAAATGATGGTCGCGGTGGCGCTTGTCGCACGCCGCTTTCCCTGAACAAGGCAACATTTCCTTAACAGGTAAATAAGAAGAAAAGTTTTGCTTATTGTTGTAGGCAGAACGAAGAAGAACACTATCACTCTGATCAGAAACATCATTCCAAGAGTCGGTGGAGCAAACAACTGGGGCCGCTGGCGGCGTCTTGTAGAAGTTCTTGATTTCTTCCTTCGGAATGTCTGTCATTTTCAAAATAAGCGAGCGCATCGTCACCGGAATCGACCAACATCTAAAAAATACAACGGCATTAACAACGTTAGATAAACTGATAAGTGAGCCCGTTTGAGAAACGCTGAACTTCACATATAACAATCTAGTCATCCTGATAACCTAACGCAAAGGGCAGAAGGCTGAGAAAGCGAAACAACATTAAACGTCCATTTTAAAAATAAGAAGTGTCTTCGAAAAAAATCTTGCAGAGAATTTACTGGTCAATTATGAATGCCAGCCCAGAATAAAACAGACATCCAATAAACTCTAACAACATCAAGTAATCTAGCTCGTCAATCAGGTTAGAAATGTTCTGGAAGCCGCACGCATTTGCTTGAATTCAACCAAATTTCGAGTAACTAGAAAACAGTACAGTACAACGACAAGCGGCGCCATGGGATCTCTGAAATCCATAAGGATTCCAGAAAAATACATGAATTTACAAAATGGTACGCTGCGGTCGGTAATACGAAGACCAAAGACAGATAAGTAGAAGCACATGAAAATAATACGGCTGCAGGGATACAAACAGCTTAGTGAATTCAGAGAGTATCTGAACTCCACTCAAGAGTTCTTCGGAAGTCACCTATTGCATTTAAAATTTGATAGTTCTTTTAAATCAAAATATTTACGTCGTATGTTCTTAATTCTTTAAGCATTAAAAAACCATGGTTGTCCGTAAGCTCGATATTGTTTAATATCGCGACGATGTTTTGAATCTCGTCCCAAGGAGTACATGGTTTCTTACAGCTATGGAATGAGGTATCGATTCGTTGCATTCTTGAACGGTGACCTTAGGTTCTCGATCCGCGGTTCAAGGCAGCAACTGAAAATGGCGATGGAAACTTTTACCCATTGACGCTGCACACTAACGTCATCATCAGGTTCATATTACACAAATAAATTATCTTCTACTGAAGTTAACCTGACAGTGTCACCTTCGCCGCACTAGCCCGTCAAAAGGGTAAACGGCATAACCTTCATACTCCTCTCATTTAGGAGGGCATAAAAATGGAGACTGTAATTAGGAAGAGAGTTAGGACAAATTTTTTTCGATTCAGTCTATCTTGCCTCATTTTCGCAGTCCTCACTTATGTTACGCCGTAACTGATCATTTCAGATTCATCTGATGTTCTCACGGCTTCCATCGCTATTCGTAAGGGTGAACTCTGACGTACTTCACGCTGATATTCCTATCCCTGACTTTTGTCGCTGCGCGTTCTTCATAGCCAGCTTGGCATCCATAAAGCGCATAGGATAAAGGTTCACTGCGCCAAATGCACGTAGAAAAAACGTTTAATTCCTGCAATAAATTACTACATGCACAAATCTAATTCATTATACACAACTACTATTAATTAACATTGTCTCTGTTTATATAAACCTATCGGCTTATAATTTGGTACGTATCAGCATTCGGTCGATGATACTTAGGCCTCAAAATGGGTTTACAATATGAAAAACATTGTTTTTCCAATTACTTACCATATAATGTACCCTTGGGAGGAATAATGCTCGATCTGAGACGTTGTGGTTATACTATATTACTCCTTGAAAAACTGCGATGAAGAACGTTTCAATCTTACAAAGAATTGAAGTACGCTTTTGCCCAGTCACTAGGCAGCTTTTACAACAGTAGCAGAGTGCTTAATACGATTGGGTCTCTTTTGTACCACCTGACATTTATCAGTGTTTCTTGCTCCTTTAGAGCTGAAATAATTTCAATGGAAAAAATGCAGTCTAATCAAATACCTGCGCACTGTATTTCGGTAATGACGTGTTGACCAACCAAAGTAGCTGTATCATCAGGTGCCACCTCTAAGAAATCACTGTTCCTCTCTTGCACATCAATGATATGCAGCATACGTCGTAAATTTCTTTCACGGCACTCCGGGTGCAATGCTAATCTTTGTTTCTACGACGGTCACTCTGGAGTATCTGAAGTCGCTTAGCAAATATATACGCATAATCTTTTGTTTCCTTCTTTGAAGTGACAGTGTTTCACCTACCTCAGAATGACGAATGACCTATGGGAATTCGAACTCCACTCGATCTTTCGGCTGCGTATACAGAGCGTTTCGGACTGTGCTGCCCTCATCCAAAACAACAGATCGACGTGATCTTAATCATAATTTGTCCTTGATGACCGTTAATGTTGTTTGGCTGAAATTCTGTCAATAAAAGAGACTTTAGCATCGGTCTACTGGTCGTGCATAACCACTGAATTTATATGGCGCAGTGCCACTATGCGTGAGAACTCAGCTTCAAACCATGGTGGTGCCAGATTCAGTTCCAGCGGTAATCTCGGTCTTAAACACAAATTTACTTTAGAAAGGAATTTATCACATAATGCTTCAGATTGGAGGTTGCTCAATCGCTAGAGCGTCAAGCCCAGAACGGAGATACCATGGTCAGTATAAATCGCGTTTCTTTCTTTCGAGGTTGATAAATTAGGACCACTCAGCGGGAAGTAAACAAGAGATTACCCGCTCTGCTTGCCACATCGCTGCTGTCAACTCTGCTGTTGAAAAGGCACTCGTAACTGATGAAATCGAAATAGGAGTCAGTGAACTACCAGTAGCTTCATGTAAAGAAGAGCGCCGGAATGGCCTCATTGTGAAAGTATAAGGAATACCGACATTACAACGGTTACCTTACTTTCTTCCTATTCAATCCATATGATTTATAACAAAGGAGACATAGCCCAAAGGTAAGTTTCGAAATTCGATGTATTATTAAACAGCTGCTTTTAGTATCTTACGCTAAACGAATATGAACTGAGACCAAAGGCAAGCTGAAATTAAACTTTGCAATGATCTGAACTGTGAATATGACTGCGCAGAGCTACACCTGGTGACATGGTGAAAGTGTAAAACTCTACTCACCAAAACATTACCCAACCATTTGACATTCTGTGCTAATATGGCTGAATCGATATAAATATTGAAAAGTAAAGTCAGTCAATTACTTTGCAAAAACCTTTTCAACATCATCCACGGGAAACGAAAGCATGCTGCCCGAAAGGCTGGAGACCAGGACGTTGAATGCGCGAAAATCAGACAGGTCAAATTTCACTACAAGAAAGTCGATATTTAGGTATATTGCTGTTTTACAATGGGTACAATATTTGCCGGTACCTGAAACGAAACTGCCGTCTTTCAGGTTTTCTAACACACATTCGATGGTGGACGTGTCATGGCAGTCAATGTGAATGTAGCACAGTCCCTGATCATTGACGACATCTTGTTGCAGCGCGGCTCCCTGCTTGACGTTCCGTACACTACTGGCAAATACAGATGTGAGGAGTACGTTGGCACGAAGTATGTTGATGATCTGTGGTATGAGGTTAGTGTTGAGGAAACGTAGTTCGGTAATATCGACCGCCTCTACGCCTCCCCGTATGTTGATCCAGTAGCAGTGGTTTTGGCCTGGAAGCTTCTAAAAATAGCCAAAACTCGTTGTTACACCTCAAAGGCACTACTATAAAAAAATAATGACGTAACAATAAACGAAGCAACTTTCGTGTCTGAACTGCACTCGAAGTTTCTCTTTCGCAAAATCAGGTCCATAAGTGATCCGGTTTGAGAACTGGCTGGTCGAAAACCTGAAAAATAATTAATAATGCCATAAATTCGCTTTCTAAAATCTAGCCTCTGCTAGCGAGACAGTAGTAACGGCTACAGACATGAACTCTCAGATCTTTTGGGGCAGCTCTCTGTAATAAAAAAACACTCTGAGCGGAAACTTAAATGAACAACTGGAGGCCAGCATTCGCATAATAATGCATAGAAAAAACATTGAAAATTGCTTAACCGTACCCTTACCCTAGGAACAGAGGATGGAAGAATCTTAACGAGACTGAAGGACCAAGCTAACAATGCTTGAAATATAATACCTGCGAGTATGCATAAAATAACATCTTTCACAAGAGGGAGAAATCGCTCACTGAAATTGTCAGATCCGCACAACTATGTTGTCAACACTGAACGGAACATGGCATTTTTCGTCACATAAAAACTGTAAATCTGAGCAAAAACGAACAATGCAAATACTCGATCTCATTGAGAAGGGTATTTCCGGTGTCTCTGATTAAGAGCAAGCAATACGACTTGCATTTAATTTCAGTTCTACTGCAGAAGGGATGCCTGCCATGCTTTATTTTTCTCTGCAGTTTAAAAAAAACAGTCGCAAAGCGGCTGTAAAAAGGATTAAAATTACATAGGTCGCATTCCTTTGTGGGCGGGGGGACTAATGATCAAACAGGCATACCAGTAAGCTTTTCCAACCTCTCAACACTTTCCGTGGTAACCAGTAAACCGGCCGGAAATCGAAAGACAAATGTAGCACACACATCCATCGTGCTACCATGGCACATGCTTTCAAGTCTATAAATGCGCTAACGATTTGCACATTCTTTAAAAATCTACCAAAAGGTACAGAGGCTTACGCAAAATTTAAATCGTCCATCATAAAGCCGTTCACTAGTTTTTCACTTTGATCACAGTTACTGAGTAACAATTCGGCATAGGTCCCGATTTTCAGCTTGGATAAATCTTAAAAATGAACATACAGATCGTATATTAAATTGAGAACCTCATAGTGCTTACCCGAAAGACTGACAGTTCGACGCACACTGTTGTTTTGAACGTCCAGAAGATCGTAGGGGTGAACGAAAAAATACAATCTGCCCGCTATTCCTGAACAAAAACTAATTAAACTAATTAATCTACCAACACTAAAATACTATAAACATGTTTAGGTAATTTTATAAGAACAGCAACGACAAGGAAACAGAGGCAGTAAAATTTTGTGAAAAAGAAGCAATTAGTCACATATAAGATTTCCCTTTGAGTCGTCAACGGTAACTCTGAAACTTAACAGCAACAAAACTGAAATAAAATGCATCAGGTACTATATTACGCAGCGGCGAAAGCTATGAAGGTGCATTATCAATACTGAAGAGGCCTACACAGAGGTCCTTTCAAACGGATTTCAGGTCGTGGAGATTCATTCTTTAATGATAGTGACTCCTGTTATAAGAGACAACGTTACAGATGGAAGAAAAAACAGCAAGGTGAAAAAGAAAGAACTGAGACGGAAAAAACTTCCGGAAGAAAAAGCGAAAAGAGAAACTTTACAATCAGATCCTGTGATTTTAAACGACAAATCGGTTCATCGCATCTGAGCAGTGATCAAAAGTCGCATTTAGGGAGAAGTACGGTAAGGTGTGCCCACCACAGCCGTGGACGCATGCAATCGCATAAAAAATGGCTAGTCACAACTTATGTGAAATGAGATGGTGAGTATTCATCCGTCGCCAACTTTCTGGTGACTGCAGTGATTTCTGATTGATAGTAATATAGAAGAATAAGAACAAAGTAGGAAGAAGAAAGATTATAAGAAAGAAAATCGATAAGAATAAATACAAAAAGAAAACTAACCGAAATGGAATGAAGTGGAACAGTATGTGAAACGGAACACGAAAAAATAAAGAATAATATGGACAGGAAAAGACGATACAAAGAAGCTTGAAGAAGTTATGACTTCATAGAATGTGAAGAAAATGCAATCGCGTTGTGTATATTTAACCACGAATTTATCGACGTCTTGAGAATTCATTCCTGGCTACTTTGGAGTCTGAAATATTATTTCCTGGAAGAAAATAGGGAAAAAGGAAAACGATGGAAGAGAAAGAGACAGAAATCGAAGAAGAATGACAGGAAGAAGAAAGAGAACAGTTGCATTGAAGAGATAAAGGAGGGAGAAAGAAAACAAGAATGATAAATGAAGGAAAGAAAATAAATGAAGAAACACAAGAGTGAATAGGACAGGGAAAAACAAAACAAGTCAAAAAGAAAACTTTGCATGATATAAAGAAACGAGTTTATCAGGCTCTCTATACTCAAAATTAACTCTAATTCGTGAAAAGTGAACATGAAAAAACTGGGTCACAACTCAGTGTAATGAGCTCGTTATAGGCATGAAAACGCGCTACGCGGTCAAAAATGACTGGAAAACGAAATTCTCTTAAAATGATGTCCTCAACATTCATTCAATAGCTTCTGGTATGCAACGATCAAGAAGCAGACGGAAAATAACGAGAAGATCTTTAGAATTTATCGCTTGAAAGTAAACGCGAAATAAAGCCATTTTCGACAGAAATCGAAGAAGATTTACGTGAAACATCTTCGCAACGTATCAGAGTTTGGTTCAAAATATGAATGAAGAAACCCAAGATTTACTTAATACAGTTTGAAAACGGATAAATAAAAAAAATATACGTTCATTCGCTGGTTTACAAAACTGGACATACAATTTGCATGAACATGAACTAAAAGATGATATGAGCACTTCATATCTCACATTATAACAGTTTCTCGTGCAAGTGCTGAGGTAGTTTGGTCATCACCAGCACAATGCTGAGATTCACTGCGAAACGGATATTCCCAGATATCTGAATTCATGCTGGGAAGAAAAGATTCTGAACAACATTTTATATTTTCAAAGCATCTTGTTACCGGGAGTAAAATTTGACACGGTCAAGCTGTGAGAAGAACAAATACAAATATTTGAAACGAAGCAAACTTTTCGAACTGTTTCTCAATTTGTCTGACTGAGGAAAAACAGTAAGAAAAGTATCCAATAAGAAAAGTAGAGGGAGAAAGGCTGTTGATGATGATGATCTCTACCCTCTATACCGGGGTTAGGGAAAAGCCTTTGATACAACATGTTTAATAAAATTTTGACCATTCAGAGGTGAAATTAACTTTCGTTCAAGAACAGTTCTTAAAAATCGATTTTCCAAATATTTCAATCATTGCGTATTTCAGCTCCCCAAATTCGATCCCTTTCCTAGTTTAACTGTAACTCCCGCTTCAATGCAATATTATTATGCATATCCAGAAACATTCGACGGTTTAATTCTATTGTTGAGCGGAAACACCTTAGTAAATCTGTTCAGTAAGAAGCTTGATACACAGCTGAACATAGACAGCAGAAATGTAGCATATCAAAACATACTTAATAGTTGCTACCGCATTTGCTTTAAAAAAAACTCGTCCATCACTAAACACTGAAGAAACTGAACATGAGGGCCATTAGGAATCATGACGTTGACAATGTGAGGTTTCTCACACAAAACTTGAAAAACTGTAATGATTATGGCAACAACTATGTCGCGAGATCGACGCAGTGTGACAAAGCGCAGCTAAAAAGAAACCTTGCTTTACATGACAATGAAACAAAAAGAATGTGCAACTGCATTCGCTAATTTGCACTTCTGAGAGTTAAACGATAATTAACTATCCCTTAAACGAAGAACATAATATTCCACCAATCAGGCGAAATGACCTAACGCAGCCGCCGTATATTTATTTCCAATCTCATACAATGACCGATGCCAGTTTTGCTGAAACATCATGCATTTCAGTCTGTCATAGTGATATTCATAAAAGCCGCTTCAGATCTAGAATTCTTCAATATACCGCAGAAATATGTCTCATCAAAAGGACATCAAAGACGACCGAATGGCAAACCAGGTGCTAGATGGTTCAGGTGCATGGCCATCTGGCACTGTGTTCGTTTGGCAGGCGAGCCGATGTAACTTGCAAGAGAGACTACGGATTAAACCTACTGCGCAAAACCTGCTAAAGCTGTTGTCTCACAACCGCAAAACAACAGCAGACAAAAAAATGAATGGATGGATTTGTGGGGAATCTGATTCTTCCGCTATGACAAAATGGCATCAAAACTGTATTTTATGAATGTAAGGAATGTTTACCGGCATTGCGTGGCTGAAAATAGCCGTAATCCGATGTGAGTAAATACTCGGGAAGGTTCCTAAATGACTGGTCACAAATCTGAGTACAAAGCCGACGAAGAGGCATAAGGAAACTACGTACTCGATATCACAACGTGGAGTGGTCAAGGCGCTGAGTTGTTTCTCGACGTTCTGCACAAAGGAAAAAGCCTGCGACTTCAAGGTCCTACAACGAGAAGAAACAAAGAGAGGAATATGGGTTTAGGAAGTTTGGCTTCAACATTCACCAGCCAACCACACCTCACCTGTCCCTTGTGTTGATGTAGGCCATCTTCAAACCGTTAAGATGCTTCTCCAATTCTGGCCAGTTGCAGGAGTTGATGACGTTCAGCAGAGCGTCCGATTCTTCGGCCGCCTGTTGACCGAAGGTGATGCACACGCGCACTGCCTTGCCGACCTCGTCAGCGACGATCTCAATGAAAAAGCAGTCGGAGGTGATGAACGAACTGGTGCTGGCGCTTGGACTCCGCATGAACGTAAGCCTGAAGCGAATACGTGCGCGACGAAACAAAATAAAATACGTATGAAACTTGGCCTACGAGGTCTTTGAGCTGATATCCTCCAACTGTTCGAATAGCTCGCTGACACTGTTTACTAGAAAAGAAGGGACCTCGACATTAGCCAAGCAAACAACGACGACTTAATGAACTTGAAAATCACTTTTTATATTTTCCATCAATAAACTGATGCACTTGCTGATCTGCTTTCTTTCTTCGACGTCCAAAGGGTTGCGCTTTTCCTGTCATAATAATTCAATGTAACAACCGTAAGATTACATATATCGGCGCACACTTACCATCATGTTTGTCTTTGCCCTCTTGATTATTTCGCTCCAAGACGGTATGGCCGACGACTTCTGACGTAGATGCTCCATTAGTACCTGGAGGTCACTCGAAAGAGCAGGAAAAGCCATGACAAAATAAATGTTCCCCCCAATGTCCTTTGGCGTTCAATCGTTCCGCTATGTCGCCATGTCTAAAAAATGCAAAGTTTATCCGTTTCGTCTCTGATTATGCAAGCGATTAAGTGATCGACAGCGAAGTTTCGAGTAAAAAACGGCGGATACGGAAAACACCTGTAATCACTAAAGACTGCGACGATTGAAATACATTAAGTAAACTGGTTTGGACTATAGCTGCCAAGCAACACACTACGCACTCTGAATAAGCTAAGCGTAAAATGTCATCTTCACACTTCTAGTCAAGGAAACAAAGTGTATAGCCATTGCTTGGCATTATCGTAATCAGTACTGCGTCAGCTTTATCATTTCCTGTTCTCTTCCAGTTAAGTCTACTTCTTGAACAAGAATACAAAAAATTCAGTTTTTCAGCAGTAGAATAAAGAACAAAAAACTAAATAAAAATATCCCAGTCCAAAGCATCCTCCAAAATCCGGATCTCCCTGAGGGTCAGATCATAAATAAGCAGTAAACCACCGTTAATCCATGGGTGCTAATGTGCAGTGAATGCACAAACTTCTTAACAGCAGTCTATTACGCAGTGGGTATTGGCTATTAAATACGTTGTAAGTGAAAGCGATGAAACAGATAATTTACCACTTTATTACGTACGCTCATTCCATGAGACATCGGAGTTAAATTCGAATCTATTCAAAGCCCCTAGGAAACTAAGGAAAAATGCAATTCCTCCTCTCTTAAACGCTCGCCGCCATCAATCTGAAAATTGCCTGACAGATGTTATCCGGTTGGATCGTTGCGCACTCTTTAATATGTTAAACTGCGCATCGATCAAATGTATGTCTGCAGCCCAGTTTTAAATCCGTATTTAACTACAGGGGCAGAAAATTACGGAGTCGCTAAATTCTGACAGTAATGTCGCTCACTAGGAAATCTGCTTTTCTATATTGGTGCTTCATGTGATGTACTTTCTAATATCACGTTGTGATAAACAAAATCCTATTAGACGCCCTACTACTGCCAATTTGCTTTCATGCTGGAAGCTTAAAACATGCTATCGTCAGCTGTCCTTCAGTTCTAACGCAATGGTCTTTATCAGAGAAACAGCGGCAAGCACTTCAACAGTGAAAGAAGCTAAACACTCCCAAACCATGATAAAACGAGATAGACATCCTATCATCCTAGTCCTGTACAAGCTAGTCGTCCAACAGCAAATTTGTAGAGATTTGCAAATAAATTGATGGAACTCAAAAGCAGTGCTCCTCAATAACGTCCAACATAAGACAACACAGAATGAGAAAAAGAAAAAATCTGATCTCTCTGCACCGATGCTAAAGTAAAGGCTTTATAACAAACATTGGGGCGGTTATGTTTCAAAGGAATTACCTCTCACTGTGTAACGGGGTATATACATTAGTCCATCAATCCGTGATTAAAGTGAAATATGATAAAACGATCCAAATAAAACTTCCTGCAATGAAAAACTATTAAAACCAAAGCCACAACAATATTCAGCCACCTGTTGTTGTAGCTGCTCAATTACTTAACTACTCAACAACTGAACTATTCAACTAGTGAATTACCAAAATGCTCAACTACTCAAATACTCGACTATTTAACAACTCAGTAATTCAACTACTGAACTACTCAACTACTGACATGCTCAACTGCCCAGATAGTGAACTACTGAAATACTCGACTACTGAACTATTCAGCCAATCAACCAGTCAACTGCTGACCTACCCAACTACTTAACTATCAAGAAATGTCCATCATGTTGGCGCTAGTAACTCTTCATACTCCTAACATTCTCCTTCTACTGCCACCACAATAACTATTCGTACTCCTAGCAATTCTGCTTTTTCCTCCTCAATGATCATTCCTCTCCTTGTGCTTCCGTTTCTATTTCTTCATTATTATCTTTACTGTCCTTAATATTTTCTTCATCCCTATCTTATTTTTCTAAACAGTGTCTCCAAACTCTTCACTAATCAGTGAACTCAGCTTGAAACCTTTTAATTTGCATAGATTTTTGTTGTAAATACCAAGAATATTATGTCAACATTACACATAGAAGACGTGTAAAAGCTTGAAATTCGGACGGGACCACAAAGGCTGCAGAAACAACATCTCTGGAAGCAGCACTTGGAAAACATGCTAAAGATTTAGTATCTGCAAAAGGAGCCCAAGATCAGAGCACTGAATTTAGCGTAACCCACTGAAAACTTTTTTGAAACACTCTACTACAGTACCACTTACTTCATCAGATCAATATTTCATCTCGAATACCTTTAAGAATTGTCCAGGGGGCAGTTGATCGACAAGGGTCACAATTTCGCATACTTTCATCGATCAGGATCCATCTTCGGTACTTCTGCGGTCCGCTGTCTAGCATCTGCGTATTTTAACTCTGCGCGTTTTAGAAGCATTGGCAAATAGTATCATGCATGTTTTTTTGCATGCTATGTGCCAGCGAATGACCGCTAAAAAATGGCCAGTGACTGGAATTCGTTGATTAATAGCACCCATTCGCCTCCGGAGAGTCACACATTAGAGCTGTGTGTGTGTGTGGAGGGGAGGGGGCAACGAACCAACTGCCAATTCTTCAATTCCCATTCCTGAGTAGTTGTGTACTGTGCCTACTAGCTTTTGCAAACAAACACGAAACGCGGAACGATCTATTGATTGCTTCACGCCGCCCAAGTAGCTACAGTACAATATTAATGCTTCACGACGCCTCAGTCCAGTTCACATCCCGCCACTATGAATCCAGCTTCGCTTGCTTATCCGTAAGTCCCATGCCAGCAGTGCAACCCGATCATACTACCAACAGTCGATCAGCGACCACCTCTTCTTAGAATAAACAGGAAGAAGGACTGCTCCTTTCGTCATGAACTTACTGCCCCCTGATACGATCCTTTTACAAATGCACATACACATAACTTGCACCAGGGAGTAATGTTGATATTGTTCGCTATCCACATGGAAGGGGTGAATATACAATTTTTTCAGAAGTCAGTTCGGTACCTCTAATGATGTCGTGAATTCGGCATCTGCAAATTTCCTTTAATTTCGTACTGGAAATGTACATTTTCATAACACCATTTGTTTCAGTGATATCGCCCGGTAAAGGATATGTACTATCTCAAAGATAGTCATTATACACTATCTTAAACTTTGCTCTCTGTTTCCGAGTATTTTGACATCCGCATATGGCCCAACCTCGCGTCAAGAGCGCATGAAGGAGGTAACATTTTTGCAGGATAATTAGTTGGGTACTGAACGCATGGTGTTCGGAAGTGGTCATGTCAAATGGGCAAGAAGTATAGCCATGTTCAGTGATAAGAGCACCTCTTAGAGCTTTAATTCGTATCGATCAATCTGATGGCTGATCATCCAGTGTGACAATCAGCGCAAGCCGTATATATAAAAAAATTTAACCGATATAAACTACGTCCATTCGAATCAGACGGCATGTTACAGTACCTCATACAATGCCTCCGGTGCGGCCAACTAGGGCGTCGCCTCAGCTGTATTAGGCTACGATGATTTCTTGAGTTTCGAATCAAAGGAGAATATGTAACCGATGAAAGCTGACAACGCGATACTACAAACCATACGCGAAACGGAAGTGAATTTTTTTTCCTGCCCGTAAAAAGCAACACTGGTTTTGGAGCTGTACCACAACTGATTGCTGCGTACCAAACGAAATCACTATTCTGAATGTATAGAGGGGACGCTGACTGCTGGTCACTCATCAGTTTACGATGAGATGCACAGCTCGACTGTTTCATCAAAGTAGAGGTTTCGACCCTGACAGATACCGCAGAGTATCCTTAGAGCCTATCACAGTGCGGCAACTTATCCGTAACAAACGATGCAATAAGTGTCGAGTAAACTGAACGCTTATAGAACAAAACCTGTTTTTCTGTCTCAAAGATGAACGGTGATATAATAATAATGAACAAAGACAGTCAATGGTCTTCAAACATTCATCTAATATGCGCATTTCAACAGTGTATCGCTCAAATCAGGGAGGAAAGTCCCTATTTACACAACAGTATTTCAGTTCTCGACCAAATCCTACTTTTATAAATATGCAGATGCATTAAGAGAGTAAGCTAGTTCAAGAATCACAGTTGACTAGCGTTCCACTCGATGATACATCTGACTATTATCTGTTTTCTCTTTTGTTGGATGAAACATGTTCTACAGTAAAGAATGATTATCAAGTAGTGATGTCATTTGCAAAGAATTTTTCAGCTATATCACCATACAAATATCGGAGCCGTTCAAATGTCGTTCTTCCTTAACTTATGTAATGGCTCCAGTTGTAGCACTCTTGTCTTTATTATATTCTAGCGCACTGGTAAAAATTTACACGTCATCAGCCAGAAGTGCTTATTTTTAAATGCAGAATCGACATGCATAGTATGTATTTTCCAGTTTACTTCCAACTCATTTGTCAGCTATGCTCACCTATCAGCTTCAAAAGAAGAAAAGCGAGTGATCGCGAGCGGGATTCTAATCCGAAACCGCACGGTTTTAAATCCGACGTTTCTGCGACCGAGTAACGTTTTATAAGTTCTTCATTCGAGGGAATTTGTGACAAAGACATATACTGCCCGCCGCGGGAATGGAACTCGACTCCTCCGGATTTCGAATTTAAAGCCGTCCTTTTACTCACTGTATCAACACGCCATAATGATGCAACTGGCAACGTGTGCCAGTTTTTAGTCAAACTGCTGAAAGAAGATCTCAACTGCAAGATGCATTTATCGGACAGTATGGCTTTCTGTTTATCACGCTTTAGCATAACCATAACAGACACAATATTATTGCCACTGTTAGCTAGAAGGTGATCTGTAATCCATTTCATCGCTCGTTGCATCGAGGGACAGTAAATTTAATCTCTCGCTTAAGTAGATGCAATAAATATTACTCCGCGTATAGGGTCT